AGAAATAAACAAACTGCGACTCCTTCCAGATATTTGCCGGCAAATTCGCGCTTGAAATTTCAATCCGTACATAAGAAGTTCGTCTGCTCGAAAGCTGATTTAAATTAATGGGAAAGCAATTTATGAGAGAGGAAGCATTACCCTAAAATTTCAGCTTTCTGTCATGTCTAGTTCACAAAACGGAATGTTACCACGCCAAATTTTACGTGTCCATCTGTGATGCAAGGAGGCTAAATTTGAATTTCCGGTGTTGCTCATTTTCTCTCGACGAAAAACGTTTTGTATCATTGCTGCAGCGTATAATACGTTACACAGTAAAATCCTTAGCAAAAAATGGTTTAATGTGGACTTACCATTAACTTCGTGCATTTCAGTCCCATTTCGAATAGTCGCTAATTGTGCACTCAACGCTAAGCATTCGGATCTTGCTTCGTGAAAACTGTGCGATCCCTTTTTCTGTAAATTATCATTATTAACTTGATGGTTTGCTCCAAAAACCAGTCGTTTATGTTGCTTAAGAGCGTATTATCAGCAGTTTATTTGTAATAAACTGACAAGAAACCGAGCCATTTAGGGACCTACAGTTGGTTGTTGCTGAAACAAAATATACTACTGTTCCAGCTAATTCCGAGCGCTTGCATCTCCCAAATGACGTGGAGAGAAGGGGAAGAAGAGGAAAATTTGCATTTTTACCTTGTCAAAAATAACTTTTAAAGAAGTTGGGGTGTGTCGAAAAACAAAACGAACTTCAGATAAATTTTTCTTTTGAATCCTTATAAAAGTTTTATGTTTCTTTTTGTGGATCAAGATTTCTGCTTTGAAATATTCTAAAAGCTTTTTTGTTTTTTTTAATCATTCATTGTTTTGCCGAGGACTTTTAATTTGATAGTTTAAAGCTTTTCGTGGCTCTAAAAGTTTCTCTGCAGTTTTATAAGAGATCGCAGTGTGAATTAGGATGATCAAATACAGTCGGCTGCTTCACTCCTGGCGTCCAATATGCTAATTCAGTTCTGGTTTGGCAGTACATTACTTTAGCTTTGGTCTGCAACATATGCTATTTCAGTCTTGTTTTTCACGTAGAGTATAGCTGTTTTTGGTTGTCACATAGCTAAAATTTTGAATTTACAGTTTTTTTCGGAAATTAGCTCTGTGCTGCACTGCGTATTAGCACAAATTAGAACCCGCTTCACGGTACATAAGCAAATGAAGCTGCAGACGAAAAAAAATGGAAAAGAACATGAAAGAAGAATAAAGTTATCTGTGGAAGTTAGCAGTTTCAATTCACAAAATGGCTGTTCAAAGATTTGAAAACGATAACATACCACCATATAGCATGCTTTTTGGCTTGGTTTATGAATCCATCCAACCTTGCAGGGCGGTGCCGCTACCGTTACTTGGGTGGTTTCCGGAGGAGCCTGCGTAGTATCTAGAAGCAATTCACATTTCTTATTCATGCACACTTGACCGGCTGGACAGGTACCATTCGAACAGTCTTGGATGATTTCCGGTGGGCCCTGCTTAGTATCTGGATGCACTTCGCATTTTTTTTTCACGCATACCTGATCTTCTGGACGTGTACCATTCGGGCAATCTTTAAAGAAAAATGTATAGAAATAATGTGAGCTTTGGCGGCAGTTTCACAAGGCTTTGACCACCGTAATTCCTTTCGTAGAAATTTCTTCCCTATTTCTTGTCCAGGAAATCACTGTAACTATTAGAAGCGCAAAAGGGAGCGGCAAAATGTGGACGGGCAAGGAAGAGGACGCTGGAGCGTAGAAGTTCCCATAAGAGCGCAAAACAAACCTGTTTTTTTCTCCCTTAATAGTAAGCGGCTATTTTCGACTGAGACGTTCTTCTGGTCTAAGCTTTAGCAAAGAAGAAAATTACTTGGATGGGCTTCAAAATGGCATGCGTAACTTAGCGAAAACAATGAATGCTGACCCGAGTTTTTCCAAGTAGTGTCGTCGTGAAGACGAACAGGATAACTCTGGCAATGCTACGCTCAGACGTGGAAGTATTTCAGGCACATTGGCTATATTGGATATCCGCAATGATTATACTGGTGATATTGATCAAAGTCAAAACTCTCGCAGTATTCATTCTCCGAGAGAAGCGGAACACTCGCGCAGTGGCCCTAGTGATAGTAAATGCCAACAGCAACCAAAAGCTGCAGATAACTCTATCGCCTTCTCTATTGCAGTTTGCTTATAAGTAAGCTGGTGCTGGATTTAATTCGCTCATTCAGGCGATCTCAGTGTTCTCAGTAATCTATTACATTGTTTAAGTGATTTTCAAGAGGAAAGTTTAGGATAGCTGTTAGTGAAAATAGTCTAATTTGCTTCTACTAATGCTAGAACTTTTCCCCTCCCCTCTCCATGTTTGTCCCCTTCCGCCCTTTCCACTTGCTATGCGTGAAGTTTCTAGAAGATTTCGAGTTACATCTCTATATTTCCATCTGCGATATAGTTAGCTACAAAATAGTGTTGATCGTTTTCAACTTCATCAAAATCTCAGATCCTCAGTCGTTCCTCAGCAGCCTTACGCCTGCTAGATCCTATTGTATACAAAAAAAAAAATCATCTGTTAACTTTTGTGTCTGTTGGTTCAGTACTGGAAAATGCTGCATTTTTATCAACTGCTCAACAAGAGCACGCTTGATGTCAGTCAGTAGACATGCTAGAAGAAGCGGACAACCTTGATGATCCGGTACGCATTCGCCATCCAAGCAGTACTCGAATACTTCGCAATCTTCATGGTTATCTAGCCAGCATTCTAAACAGTATTTTGCATGTTGTAAAATAATGATAAGGTGTTTTGCAATTCTTTGCCATCGTATTCTTTGCTATGCACAGAAGTGTGCTGTAATAGAATGAGCAGAGCGCCCGGTGGGCGATTTGCATATATAAGAACGGTACTGAATTGAGAAACGGCGTTGTTATTGGAAGTCGTTGTTGCAGCATTAGCGTGGCAGATCTTTCGTCGACGTCGCCTGCTATTATTGGTTTTTATCTTTTTTTGCTATACAGTGCTGAATAGAGTTTTGTGTTGAATAAATTTTTAGTGATAATATCGAACCCAACAAGTAATCTCAAAGTGGAATTAGCTGCACTTGACGTATGAGGAGCTTCCCAGTAACAACACTAACATGGAACGCCGTACTGATGCCTGAGCGGTCTTAGAATTTACCGGGAAAGATTTACCTCTTGGAATTGGCATTTTGTAGCACTGACCGTCGATGCAAACTTCGTTCGTAGCGCATGTATTGTTCGGGCAGCCTTAAATATGATGTATGTTTAGATCATCTGTAATTTATCTCGTGATCGAATTTAGACGCCTCATCGTGGTTTAAAAAAGAGGCAACCTTGAAATACCGTTTTGACGCTCACTTAAATGATATTTCTAAAAGGTCAAAGCCTTGTTTGGGATCTCAGACCTAATCCCTTAGAGCACGAAACGAAAAACACAGTCATCACTATGGTGAAACACCATTGGACAAAGCAAAGAGAAAAGTCGCCAGTTGCACAGTTAAGGATCCAGAGCTCGTACTGTAGTTAACTCAAGCATAATGTGGTAGTTTTGCTTCAGTACTGAAACGGAATCGGCATGTGCAGCCATAATTCTTCCACTCTGCTGTTCATGCAAATGTCTGTAGAAACATTTCGACAGGCTTGATGAGAAACATTGGCAAAAACATCCAAGACTTTTCTAAACACTTTTCTTGCTTCCTACCCTGAATCAATTAACGAATTCAGTGGACAAAAGTGAACATATACCTTGATGATTTGCAATGCACATATCAAGAACACAGACATCAAATACGCCACAGTCCTCGTCACCTCCGCATGGCAGACCTGAAAGCTCAAAAACCTTAAAAATAGACCTCAAAAACTTTAAGAAATAGAACATTTATATTATTTGTTTAAGAGTAGCAGCTTTCCGACCTGAAAACATTCGATTTTTTGGAGGAACCTTGAAAATAATGCGGACAGTATACTGGGGGGAGACATAAGCTTTCGCCGAGAGTAGGAGGCATCTTTGACAGTTCCAAATCTTTTCTTTCTTGGAAAGGCAGTAGAGTTGCACCTTCCATATGGAGTGCTAGGAGAGTGAAAATGACAAATATTTGTACCATCAGAAAGTCCTTATGGCTTGCAAAATGTGAAAGACTCCGTGAATGAAAATATTCCTGGTCATCGGAATTTTTTTTAATACATATATTTATTATATCTATCACCATTAATATCTTTATTAGGAGGGCTAAAACTAATCTCAGACCGGTTATATTCTGAGCAAGTCTAATCGCGCAAGAATTACGTCGCAGTAGTAGGACGATGGTTAAAATTGAACGCATGTTAAACAGGAGATATCTGTGAATTTCTCACTAAAAATCATGAGATTTTTCGTATCGTACCTTGCTGGGAAGAAATTTTGATAAATACAGCAAGCAGAAATGTTACTAAAAAATATTTTGCTGTCCCGAACATACTGCTGTGATACCATCCTTTTCACTTTCTTTTATAAAACATTTTCCAGGCAGTCAGTGTGCTGTGGAATGAACAGCCAAGACTGTGCTAGCAAAAAAAAGATAGATGGCTGTTTTTGGTACTTCTGGAAAAATATTTTTATTATTTTTGCGTATGCATCCGTGTTGATCCATAGGTCTGCGCCCTTTTTGTTCTGGATTACTGTATGGATAAAAAAATTTGCGTTCCGATGATCAGTTCGAAAAACATGTTTTTGTCCACCTACATAAAATAGATTTTGCCGGAAAGGCAAATTGTTTTTCTTCCGGTCGCAATTAGATTTCCGTGGCGAATCTAATCCCTAATCTGATACGCTTATCTGGTGGCTATAAGGAGTCCAAGCAACGTAACGCAAAAGATATCCAGCTGCATGGCCCTAATGCCCGGACCTAACCTGAATGAATAAAATCCGCTACAAAGGGAATTGATTCCCAAGCACTTTACTCACTGTAAAAGGTAGAAGCACCCGGAAGCGATCCGAGTGTTACTCACAACGAGACAGTGGTTCGTTTACCTGT